GTTAGTGGCCATAATTCCTCACTATAAATTAAAAAGCCACTGCCCGAAGGTTCTGGTGTTGTATATGAATAGATGATACCACGGGACATCGGGAGCTGTTTCAAGCTACGCCTTCACAACACCCCATTGTCGAGTGACGTAACCTATACACGTTATGTAGTTAATAATTGACAGGCAAATGTATTGAATCTGAAATTGAAAATATTTACACAACAATACGAACTTGAAGCATGTTTTTTTTTAGTCTTGTTTCTTTAAGCCACGAAAAGGATTCCATGTGGTCGTTCCTTGACGTACATCACGAAGCACGCAGCCTCAGCTTCAAACATGGAGGCATGTGCATCTTAATAAAATCATTGCTTTCTACTAAAGTATTATCTGTTCACAGTTATTACCCCATAGACATGCCGTAAATACCGGCTTTCTTTGTTTTCAAACGTGTGACGGTTTGAAATCTTTGTTCATATACTAAGAACATAAAGCTTGCATCATGATGCACTCGAATAATACGCTGCATTCAATGGTGGCTGTATTTTTTTTTTAGCAGAGTCTCTTTAGTGTCGTATACTGAAAAAAGGGGAGACTTTTTCTCATTATTGTCAAAAAATAGAATTGCTTCATTGATGCAACATCTCTATCAAATCAGCAATCTACACCATAACATACCAGTTGACATGTCTGATCTTTACAGATAAAAGAATTTTAACAGAACATATACCTATACCTTTCCTGGGGAAATACCTATAAAACTCATTTACATCCAATACGAATTGTACGTACTATTTCTGGTTCACTTCCATTTTCATATACTCTCCCATTGTTTAACAGCTATAATATACTTGACATATACAAACAACACCAGTTCCAATTATTTATTTATTTATTCATTTATTATTCATTTATGTATATTGTTATTATAAATCATCCTTTAAGACAGTGTAATTCATTTGTTTCTGAGGAATCAGACTAGATTAGCTGGTTCCTATTTTACCTATTTGTAATTGATTCTTTTAATTTGTTTTGTAAAATACAAGTGTACATTATTAGGTGAAATACATTGATTGATTGATACATGCAAGTTAAAATATTAAATCTGACTGCGTTTCACTGGTGGCTGCTTCATCAATTTGGTCGGGGATGTTCGATTATGGTCGCAAGCAGATCGGCGATCGCTCTATAGAGATGTCCGCCAACACAGGTTTTACTGAAATAGGTGATAGTAATGTACCACTATAACTAATAGAATTCAGGTTCTCAGAAATAGGTTTGCCGTAACAGCGGTAATCTTAGTGAAAACTGGACTCACCTTCCGAAAAATCCTCTGTAAATCTGAGCGGCGTACAGATGTACCTGCAGTAGTAACTGTTAAATGACGTGGTAATAGATTGTTTACACCCGACGTCTGTATGGTTGAGACAGCACTATATTATCATGCAAAGCGGTGTAGAGCAAAACCTGGTTACTTTCTGTGATCACTAATTTTAAGCTTTTTATCTTTATGTACTGTCATTAATTAATCAATTAATTATCACCAGTAATGACCACCCGCAATATTTATTTAAAATTAAGCTACTAATCATACAGTGAGCTAAATGTGGGCTCATTGTGCACCGCGAATCATAATAGATGGTGTTAATCACTGTCTTATTTAAAAGATGGGCATAACGCGATGTGAGTTGATAGAAGCATGATGATAGAAGTGATTGAATCCGAATAATGCGCATGATTGAAGAATGCTCAAATTTTTATAGCTACCGAGAACTTCAATAAAATGCAATAATAATTGTCTTGCAAAGTGTATGTATTAACGGTTTTAACTTGGAAAAAGACCCGGCAATGTGATGTACAGTGATCCGAATATGGGGTCATCCCCTTTGTGATACAATCGTTCGACATAGAGAGGTTGGGATTACCTCGACTGTCTCTGTGTGTTAAAGGTGAAACCTGCGAGGTAATAAATGGTTGAACAACAGTCGTGAATAACTTACAAAAATATATTATTAATCTTTTGTATAATTGTATGGGGAAATTTGGGATGATTTGGGCTTTCATTTTCAACACAGTCAGTTACGTAGTGAAAGTTTTATCCTGTAGTCGGGCAGATCCTACTACGGGCAGTCCCTACTATAAATATACTCCATTGTAATCAGGTGTTGTAGACGTAATTGAATGAATTTATAAATTGGTATATTGTATTTTTAAATAGGTGAATGGGTGCCATTACATTATCATGGTATTCACAGTCTTCCATTCATACACTTCCAAATGATGCAATGTTTGTAACGCACCATGTTATTTATACTGATCTTACTTCGGATGACACTGATTAGGCGATTGAGGACAGATGCACACATGAATTCATTAATTAAGCATCGTCTTGAGATGATGTCAATGGTATTGATGAAACTATCCGTAATAAAGTGAATCTGCACAATTTCCACAATGTTCGAATTTTACAAATAATAAAAGACGATCGATTATTTGGTTCTCTATATTTTGGATGCGTGTTTAAAGGTGCTACGTTGCGTATTAACGCCGAGTCGTGGTGGCTCAGATAAGACCTGCCTAATTTATATCCTGTCTCATTAAGATTGCTACCAATTATACAATATGTGTATTCACGAACAAACTCCAGCTTTATTCATTGATTATGAAAGAAATACGAATATGGAGATCATGTAAGATCAGTGCATGGTGTCAATCTTATAAATTCTGATTAAAATATGTGCATTGGCGCTAACAATGAAAAGTAAAATGTCTGAAATCTCAGACACTTAAGACGTTTTCATTTTCAGTTTATGTGTGTAATTGGTTTGAGGCTGGCCTACACCACGACGAAAATTATTGTGTAACAGATTTCTAAAATAAAATAAACGTCCGGACTCACTGTAATTCAGCGATCGGCATCCAGGAGTACACAAAGTAATTTCATTCTACGGACATGAACGTGACCTGATTCTATGCATAAGGCATTATTTTATCCGTTTGGTGGGTTTGTATTGTTATCTCAAATCATTCTAATGTAGTTTAAATCATAACAATTGGTTTAAATTAAACATATTTCTATATATATTAGTATTCGACAGCCGTTCCCGAGGGTACCATATTCGGCTATTATTTTTTCACGCCATTAGTTTCTCCCACATAATATGTCAAAAACAAAACAAAAAAAGAATAGAATGGCGATAAATAGCGCCAAGACAGAACATTGAATATTACAATACAAAAAATGTATTAGATTGAATTCTTGCCTGAAAATCACATTTTGCTGTACACATTATCGTAGCGAAATGACTACTCAGCGTGGTCACCAATAGCAGACAGTGAGTGTAAATCAATAATATTATAAATAAACAATGCGCGATGTTTACAATAATTGTTTGTGTATTAATGTTTTTCATTTCAAAACTGTCGCATGCGTCAACTAAGAACGGGTTGACCATATTCGGTCTGAAGTTCGATATACACGTACGGTTTTTATTTCGAAAAAAAGCACGAGTTTACACATTTGGTCATGCGTTGCGTTGTGTTGCCTGCCTCGCTAATGGTCATTTAGCACATTTGTAGGTGTGGATGTGACCCAGACGTTTCTATCGTCTGCCCGTTTTGTTGTTGTTTTTCGTACCGCTACGCATTAACCATTTTCTGTGTAACGCCCCCAAATTCGTTTACACTGTACATGTACCTAGAAAACATAAATTTGTCGGAGGTGCGCTGTACCACTTATCTAGACACAAACACTGGGGTT